ATGGTTAAATGCTATGAATGATGAAATGAAGTCTTTACATGTTAACCATACTTGGATTCTTGTACCTAAACCTCCTGCATGCTCTTTAGTGGACTGTAAGTGGTTGTTTAAGGTCAAACATGAATCTGACTCTGTTAGATATAAGGCTAGGCTAGTGGCTAAGGGGTTTACCCAAAAGGAAGGTATTGATTACACTGAAATATTTGCTCATGTTGTGAAATTCACCACTGTTAGAATCATGCTTGCTTTAATTGCTCACTTTAACTGGGAATTAAAACAAATGGATGTGAAAACTGCTTTTCTGCATGGGGAATTAAATGAGCAAATATATATGTGCCAGCCTGAGGGTTTTTGTGATAAAAAACATCCTGATTATGTGTGTCTTCTTAAGAAATCTTTGTATGGACTGAAACAGTCACCTAGGCAATGGAACAAGAAATTTGATGCATGCATGATGTCTTTAAAATTTTAAAGGAGTTCATATGATCCTTGCTTGTACTTTAAAGAATCTGCTAAAATTCCTGTGTTCTTGCTTATCTATGTGGATGACATGCTTCTAGCTAGTCCTTGCATTCAAACTGTTAATCATGTGATTAAATGTCTTAGTGATGAGTTTGATATGAAACTTCTTGGTAATGCAAAAAGAATTCTTGGCATGGACATAATTAGAGATAGGACTGGCTGCACTCTGTTTCTGAATCAATCCTCCTATATTGAGAAAATCCTTGAAAAATTTTCTATGTTGTCTGCCAAACCTGTGTCTGTTCCTCTTGCTCCTCATTTTTTGCTAAGTAAGGACCAGTCTCCCAAGACTGAGCCTGAAATTTCTGAAATGAAAAATGTGCCATATGCCAATGCCATTGGCTCTGTTATGTATTTGATGGTTAGTACTAGGCCTGACATTGCATATTCTGTGAGTTGCTTGAGTAGATATATGTCTAATCCAGGTTTGCCTCACTGGGAGGCTCTAAAATGGCTGCTTATATATTTGAAAGGTACTGTTAAAACTGGTTTGATGTTTTCAAAAGGTAAATCTGAGATTGAACTCTGTGGTTATGTGGATTCAAACTTTGCCAATGATAGGGACAATAGAAAATCTTCTACCTCCTATGTGTTCACCTTAAATGGTGCTTGTGTTAGTTGGAAATCTCAACTCCAACACATTGTTGCTCTGTCTACTACTGAATCTGAATATATAGCTGCTACTGAGGCTATTAAAGAAGCCATTTGGCTTAAAGGGCTGTTGTTGGAAGTTGATATGCTTAATTCCAAAGTGGTAGTATTTTCTGATAGTCAATCTGGCATTCAACTGTGTAAAAATCCTGTTTTTCATGATAGAACTAAACACATTGATGTGAAGTTCCATTTCATTAGGGATGTGGTTGAAAAAGGGATTATTGACCTTGAAAAAATCCCATCTGAGTTCAATCCAGCTGACATGGGAACTAAATGTCTGCCTTCTGAAAAATTCTGTTCTTGTTTGCAAAACTTGAACATTCTGTCCAAACCTTGACTTGCTGTGTGCTAGTTTGTAGTCTGTGTGACTTGGTATTTATGCTTTCTTTGTGATTGCATGTTTAAATCTTTTTCTATGTGACTAAGATTGTGCTGTCTGTGTGATTGCATTACTGCATTTATTTTAAAGTGCAAATAAGTTGTATTCTGAGTGAATTCAACTAGATATACTTGTATGAACTGTGTGCTCTTACTGGTGTGTCAAAAATACAGCAATGATGACTTCCAAAATTTTTTTGTAAATTTTCACTAATGATTCACATTTGGTCCAAGGTGGAGAATTGTTGGATTTTGGCCCAAATATGTTCTGGGCCATAAAGCCCAATTGCCATTATTTATATACACCACCATGAGTTGAGCCCAAGTTATATTAAGTGAGCCCAGCCCATTTTGTAGCCAGATCCATCCGTTGGATCTCAGGCTTAATCTGGACCGTTCAGTACCTCACTTAAATAGCATTTTCTCTCTCTTCGTTTCTCTCACTCTGAACCCTAACTCTTACCCTCTCTTCTCCGCCGCTCCTGCTTCTGTCTTCTTCCTCCCTTGTACTGCCTTGACTGAGTTATGGCTGGAGGTCAAAGTGCACGGCACAATGCTGACTTTGACCCTCCGGTACAGCCTTCACCGGCTCTCTTTGACTTCAGTCCCTATATATGTTGGCATGGAGGCTGGAAGATGGAGAGACAGAGAAAAACCCTAATCAGACCTAAATCCCTTCGTTTTCTTCTTTGTGAGTTCAGAAATTGGGGTTTTGGTGAGTGGGTAAGCTTGAGTGCTTGATCTGTTCTTCCTTCGTGGTTTTCTGGGTATTTTAGGGTTTGAGTGTGTTTGAGAGAAAGGAGATCTGTTCTCCTTGAGGTACTCTGGTGGTGTATATTTGGAAGTGTGAATCTCTGGTGTGAAATTGGAAGACTGAGCTGAAATCTCAATCTATTTGTTTTTCCAATTTATTTCATACCTTGTATTTCTTTCTTCCTTTTATATTTTTTTCATACCTATATATATATCTATTCTCCTTGGCAGTAATTAATACTGCCTAAGGGGAATTCATATATAACTTCAGTAGGTTGTAAATGGAGCTTGGCGATTTGATACCCTACATATGTCCTATGTAACACATACTTTTTGTACTTTGAAAAATACATTAACGTCCAATTAATTTGACCTTAATCTAACTGTCAAGCTATTGGACCATTAATAGTATTATTAGCAAAATAAATTTAGTATACTTTAAGACTAAATAACTTATCAAACCTCTATAGTATTGACAATTACAAACCCCCGAGTTATTTTTCCGTCTTACGGTTACACTCTTACGAAGTTATAAGTAACGAAATCTTAAAAATTACATAGAAAATTTATTGTGATTTGTACATGTGGACTGATTTGTGTAGCACTCATTGGGTCTCACAAGAAAAGAACACACAACAATTAAACTACGTACACTCTTCCATGTGAAATATTCGCTTTGGGATTTTGTAATTGTTATTGAAATATCGATTTATTGGGTCGTATATTAATTCATACGGTGAGTGAAGGCACTTTTACATGAGATTGTTTTGCCTCACAATTTTGGGAAAATGTCAAATACTTCACATTAAAAAAAATTATATTTAATAAAAAACTATTAATAGTAACTTAAAAGCACAACAATTTGAAATTTATGTTTAAAAAAAAAAATCTGGTAACCATTAAATAAAATTTGTTGTCAATCGTTACCAAATTAATCCATAGAAGTCGGGTCAATATGGAATATTGGTAATAGAATTTTAGATTGATTTATTCATTTGCATAGTTTGGTAGGTTTTTTTGGTGGAATATTCCATATACTAATATTTGTTCAATAGTTGTGTACATGACCTCATAAAAATAAAAGTCCGCATGGGTATAACTCAATTGGTTATGGGTGTGATAAGTTGGTACAATATACTAATTACTTAATGCGACCAATGTTATTTAATGAAGAAAAAAAAATACTTATTTTTAAATTATCACTATCACCTTACAATTAATCATTAAACCGTGTAAATAATTAGGGAATCACCATAAATATTTGAAAATTTGTTATTCAAACATATTTCTAAGTTTAGAGAAATTGTAAAATGGGAAACGCAGATACGTACGTTAAGAAGTTAACGTTTCCGTGCTACATAGATTATAACATTAGTGTTACCGATGCGATATCTACATCGAATAGTTCTCCGGTTAATGTGGAAACAGGTTCTAAAATTTCGAACACTAATATTAACTGATAAAAAACAAATCCTAATAAATATTAATTATACTCTAATTATTTATCTTTCAACAATAAAATAAATAAATAAGAAACTGAAACTAGTTTGATTTACTTAATTCGATTGTTTGATTTATCTCACATTTAAATATCCGATGTAATATGAGTTCGAACTTGAGATAATGTTGAGATGACCACGTCAAGATTGGAACTCCACATAAGTGAGAATTACGTGACCGCATCTAATTAATACTTGGAAATACACATATAAATCGAGATAACAATTTAAATAAGTTAAAAATGAGTTCCAATTTCAATTTCAAAAAATAGGAATTCAAAAAATCATTCTGATATTGGAATGCTCCGGAACAGGTGAAATTTCGAAAAATTGTATTAAATGATAATCTCTTATTCCAAATTTGGACATAATGCCAATTTTCACAACTTTTTGATTTTTTTTTGGAATTTTTCAGTAAAATGCAAGAAAATCCGAAGAAAAAAAAATTCAACAAAATCCAATAAATAAAACCATTTATAAGAACAACAAAATCATACATAGAATTTCTCATATCAATTAATATTTTCTTGAGTTTTATTTTATTTGTAGTTTGGGTATTCATATTTTTCATATAAAACATGTCATACATTGTATTATGAAAATGAAATTACAAAAATATATTCGAAATATATATTATATATTTCGAAAAACAATATAAATACTCAGAACTAAAATTTGATCGGGAAACCAAAAGTTTTGGTAATTTTTGATACAATTTCAATTCCTCTCCAGAAAAAATCGGATTGAAAAATACAGTTCCAAATTCAGATATTTTCGGATCGGAGACGGCCGAATTCGAATATCCCATTCCGATTTCCACCCATAGTTATCATAACAATATATTTGAAGTTTATGTAATTCAAATCAAAATCAATAAACATTATTCACTTATATGTTTTAATTTTCCCATACAAAAAAAAAATGATGGGAAAATTCTAAATGATCACGTAGACGCACGCACGGCTATCAATTTCTAAACCAAAACCAAACAAGAGGTTTTCATTTCAGGCGCGTGGATAACTCTCAACCACAAAGAGACTTGTACAAACTCCATCCTTTGATTCGGATCCGGGGCCCCACTTCCAGGATCCGACAGAAAAGAGAGCACCCATTTCCCCAAACCCGAACCCACTTGGATCTCCCCCACACCACTCCTCCAACTCACACAACATATACATATATATATATATATATATGTCCCATGCAGTACCAGAAAACAACACACAATTCATCCTTTTTTGTGGCCTTTAAATTTAAATTAAATTCCAATCCCAAACCCCTCTCTCAAATTAAGAAATGGATGTCTGTAATTTAGGGCAAGAGATTGAAGTGCCGAAGAATTTCACCATTAAAGGGGTCCTCGAATTGCTAATGGCGAACACAGAAGAAATCAAAGGTAAGAAGTTGATTTCATTGGGAATTGGTGACCCGACAGCTCATTCTTGCTTTAGGACAAGCTCCGCCGCTCAAGAAGCTGTTGTCGATGCTCTCCGCTCCAACAAATTCAATGGCTACGCTCCCACTGCTGGTCTTCCTCAAACCAGAATGTAATTTCAATTTTTTTTTAATTTTTTTTTTAATTTTTGTTTTTTGAATATTGGGTTCGTGCATGCAATGTTTCGATTGTGTTGCTGTTTATTGGGCTTTTCTTAAGATCAGTTTAATTGCTGTTTAGTGGCTAATGATTTTGCTTATGTTGTCTAAATTCAAAATTCGATGATAACTATGCTGAATTAAAGAAATGAAAAAAAATTAAAAAATCATTCTTTTTGTTAGTAATTTCTTATAGTTGAGTTTTGTGTTTATTCTGATTCATATAGCTTTTATGTTAAAAAAAAAAAAAACAGGGCAATTGCAGAGTATTTGTCACGTGATCTGCCCTACGATTTGCTGCCGGAAGATGTTTATGTAACGTCGGGTTGTACACAAGCCATCGAAATAGCATTATCAATTTTATCTCGACCGGGTGCTAACATCTTGCTTCCGAGGCCGGGGTTTCCGGTTTACGGGCTTTGCTCTGCCTTCAGAAACCTCGAAGCCCGTTATTTCGATCTACTCCCCGATAACCAATGGGAAGTTGATCTAACTACAGTCGGACACCTGGCGGATCACAACACCGTGGCTATGGTCATCATCAATCCCGGAAATCCGTGTGGGAACGTCTATTCGTATCAACATTTGAAAGAGGTTTAAATTAAACTTTTAGCCTTTATATCCCATGTTTAATTTTTTTTAGCAAGTTAATGATGATTATTGGCCTAATTACTGTAAATACCCTTTTTGTTAACGATTAGATCGCTGAAACTGCGAAGCGGCTCGGTATTGTTGTAATTTCGGATGAAGTGTATGGGCATCTTGCTTTTGGGAATAACCCTTTTGTGCCGATGGGTGTTTTTGGATCGATTGCACCGGTTATTACTCTTGGCTCTCTGTCGAAGAGATGGTTAGTGCCAGGCTGGCGTCTTGGTTGGTTGGTTACAACTGATCCCGACGGCACTTTAAAGAGCCCAAAGGTTCCGGTTTTTTATTTTATTTTTTTTATTTTTTTTTATTTTTTATTCTTTGATTTGCTAGCCTCGATTTTTGCTTTATAAAATTATAAATAACTTTCTTCGGTTTTTTATCTTTTCAGTTTGTCGAGCGCCTTAAGAAGTATTGTGACATTTGTGGAGGTTCTGCAACCTTCATACAGGTTCGTAAAATCGATCGTAAAATCGTACAATTTTTTTTTATCTCTTGTGGTGAAGTTAAATTAGTTTGATGCAACAGGCAGCAGTTCCAGCAATACTTGAAGAAAAACAAGACGTTTTCTTCAGAAAAACGATCAATATACTGAAGCAGACTTCGGATACTTGTTATCGAAAGATGAAAGAAATCAACTGCATCACTTGTCCTCATAAACCAGAATGGTCAATGGCATACATGGTAAATACTCAGAGTTCCGATAAGTGATCGAAAGAAAAAAAAATTGATGGTAGCAATTTTTTTTTTTTTCTAGTTTAGATGCTCTCATGTATACATTTGAAAATTTAGGTAAAGCTGAATATTTCCATGCTGAAAGATATTAGTGACGATATCGACTTCTGCTTCAAGCTGGCTAAAGAGGAATCTGTTATAATTCTTCCAGGTTACATATATATATATATTTATATAAAACGAAGTGGCGAAAAAAACGAGAGTATTTAATTTATTTTATTTTGCAGGGCTGGCTGTAGGCCTAAAGAATTGGCTGCGAATCATATTTGCAGTTGAGCCATCTTGTCTTGAAGAAGCATTGGAGAGGGTGAAATCTTTTTGCCAGCGGCATTCGCGTTAGCAAAAAATCGATCGACACTGGTAAATCGAGTGAATAATTAAATTATCAAGAAAAAAAAAAGGTATATCAAAACTTATTTTTGTTGTATGAAAAACATATATAACAACTTTTGGAGTTTTCGTTTACAGATTACACCATATTTTGTAGCTTAGATTACTAAATTACAACGAAATGTACGATGCTTATAGTATTTTTTATTTATTTATTTGATATATTTATTTATTTTTATGGTTAGATTATCCCAAGTTACCTACATCAAACATGGGATCTTCTGATTCTTGTGATATATGTATGTACTTACATCATTAATATAAATAAAAAAATTATTTAATCAACACTTTTCACCATTGTCATTTGCTTAAATTGCTCAATATACACTAGTGTATACTATGCTAGGTGAAATACACCAGACAGTTCTCTACCATTCATAAGCACGTAAATACATGCACACACATCCACATTGGTGTGTGTAGATCAACGGTATAAATCGACTCAGTGTACATTTATTACACTTGCAAAACATAAAAATTTAAATTCAACAAATATATTATTTATACGATAACTGCTCTTGGCCCTTGGGCATTAAGAATAATTATTAAGAGCCCTTTAAATAAAAAAATAATTTTTATTTATATTGAAAAAGGAATAATTAAGTTCAGCACATCCATATATGATATATCTTAGTTTTCAATTTGATCATAGCCATCAAGACAAAGTGCTAGCAGAAAACAAGACAAGTAAATACCAAAACCGCCAATCATTTGAACGGTTAAAAATAATTATTACATAGTCTCTCTCTCTCTCTCTCTCTCTCTCTCTCTCTCTCTCTCTCTCTTTCTCTCTCTCTGAAAATCAATCCTGAGAAGGGAGAAGAAAATTTGAACACAGGGAATTAAGCACTCTCCCTCAGCATTATTATTATTTATCCATTATTAATTAATTGTTGAACGAAGAAGACATAATGGAGTGCAGGCCATTGGGTTTCTTGATAGGTCTTCCGTTCGCCTTCATCTCGTTGCTTTTATCCCTCGTCGGCGTTATTATATGGCTTATCGGGTTTGTTTCTTTTCGACTTTTAAATTATTTTTCCTTCACATTTTTAATCACATGCAAGGATAATATCAAATTTCATTTGTGATCATGTTTTTTATAAGATGATTGTATACAAATTTTGTTTTTTTTATTCTTTTTCTTTCGATTTTGTTGAAAAGTATAGGAGCGTCTTAAGCTGTTTATGCCCGTGTTGCATATGCTGCGCCGGAGTGGCGAATTTGGCGGTAACAATGGTGGAGATCCCTTTCAAGGTTATCAGATGGTTCATTGATTTGATACCTTGCTGATTATCTTTTTTTTTTTTTTTTTTTTTTTGGTAATTAGAATTTAGAAGTAGTCGTGTTTTTAAAGATGTGACATTTTGTTGTCTCAATCTATTAAAAGCGTGTTTCTCTCTTCCATTACCATCAATTATTTGGGCATGGGATTGCTACTAATTACTTAGGAACAATTTTTTTAAATTTTAATCACATTTGATTAGTGGAATTATTGCTCATTTGCTCTAGTTTTATTGCTAGAAATTCTCATCTTATAACACTTGAGTCCTAATATTTTGGGAAATTAGCTAATAACCCCTAGGTATGAGAAATGCAACAAAGATAGAAGTGTTTCCCTCAATTTCCTCAATTTTTTGAGGTTTCCCTTGTTTTAGTGCAATTTCTTTTCCACATTTTCCATGAAATTGTTTTACATAGTAATTTACTTATCAACCAAACAAAAAAACTATTTTACATCACCTTTTCACTATTTTACCTACTATTTTCCTTGAACCAATCATACCCTAAAAGTTTAGGCAATGTTTGGTATTGTTTTTATTTTGTTTCTATTGATTCCCCAAAACAAAATTATGTTTATTACACTTCTCAAATAATTTTCTCAAAATAATCTCAAAAGTTTCTCTCTCGTTCAGACATGATGTGGCTGCTACAGTAAAATTGAAAGAATTTATGGTCCCGAATTCGTTTAATACAGAGGTGTTATCTTAAGTGTTATGACACTTGAACAAACATGCAGCGGAAATATAAAGATAAAATAACAATACTCAGAATTAAAAATGTTCACAAGTAAAGACTTGTGAACTTGCCCTTTACAGGACGGAAAAATATATTAAAATCAGTATTCCAAGAATACAAACAGAAGAGGTGCGAAAACTTCTTCCTTATGAATGAATCTTTTTCAAGATCATTCTTACAATCAAATCTAGATACTAAAAGAAAAATATTAAAAATTCTAGATTTCAAAGATGTACTCGTGAGGAGTACGTAAAGAACTTATGAATGAATCACTATCTTGATCATTCTTACAACCAAGTCTAGAAACATGTATACTGTACAATCTAGACTACAAAGAATGTACTTATGAGAAGTACGTAAAGAATGTACTCATAAGGAGTACGTAAAGATTATACTCATGAAGAGTACAAACGACCGATTCTAAAACCACTCTAAAACACTCATGTATTCTTTTCATCTCTCGGTTTTTTATTTCGTAGAATCGATTAAAATTATTGAGTATTGAAATCGGTATTTATAGACATTTCAAGCTTCCACTCCTCAGCCCATGATCTGCAAGAAAACCAACCACAAGAGTACTCAAGAAAATGGGTTAGTGGGTTAGTTAGGAAGTTAGAATAAAATCCACAATTAAATCCACTAAGCACTACTTATCCCACTAAGCACTATACTTAACCCACTAAGCACTACTTATTCCATAACTAAAATTTAGTTTAAAAAATAAGAAAGTTAAAAACACAATGTGGAAATAATCCACGTGTTTCAAACTCCCCCTTTTTAACTTTCTGATCAAAACTAAATTTTAGCTTTAGGAAGTTAGAATAAAATCCACAATTAAATCCACTAAGCACTACTTAGCCCACTAAGCACTATACTTAACCCACTAAGCACTACTTATTCCATAACTAAAATTTAGTTTAAAAAATAAGAAAGTTAAAAACACAATGTGGAAATAATCAACGTGTTTCAAACTCCCCCTTTTTAACTTTCTGATCAAAACTAAATTTTAGCTTAACTCCCCCTGAGTCATTGCTTGAACTCCCCCTGAATATGATAACCAATATAGCAAATAACAATAATAGTGCAATCCTAGCATAAAAGATCAGAGGGAAAATAACAAACTGAACAAAAACAAATATTGTTCATAAAAATAACTTTAGAGCAGAATATCCACGTGTTTCAAACTCCCCCTTTTTAACTTTCTGATCAAAACTAAATTTTAGCTTAACTCCCCCTGAGTCATTGCTTGAACTCCCCCTGAATATGATAACCAATATAGCAAATAAAAATAATAGTGCAATCCTAGCATAAAAGATCAGAGGGAAAATAACAAACTGAACAAAAACAAATATTGTTCATAAAAATAACTTTAGAGCAGAATATCCAAAGTGTCCTCAGTATCAGCTGCTGCTGCTTTCCTCTGCTCCTTCAGCTTCACCCTCATTCTTTTCTTCTTCTTCATTAACTCCATGTTCTCTGCCTCTGGCATCCAAATGATGAGAAGTCCCTGCTTCAACTTCATGACTAGCTTTTTCTCCCCCTTTTTGATCAGAAAGAGTTTTTTGGAGCATTTCCACCATGGACTGGTGATAGGTAATCTGAGCTAGAGAGTGAGTAAGCTGTTGTAACAAGAGATCTCTAGGAACAGAAACAAGATTGTCAGGGGTGTTGTCAACATGAGGAGCAACACCTTCAGTACCAAGATTATTTTGACCTGATTCAGTTGAGAGAAAATTATCTCCATTCCAGGGAAGATCTTGGACATGAGGAGCTTTGAGAAAATTTTGAAAAACAATTATCATGCCAAGGGTGAGAAAGCAGAATGGAGTAGATGAGAGAAAGATTTTAAAACGATTGCCAAATTTTTTTTTTTTTTTTTTTTTTACAAACCTCAGTAAAATCACCATAATTATCCTCATCAATCACTGTAGGAGTTTGTAAATGAGAGTTGATAATTTTGGGAGAAAAGGGAGAAAATGAAATTTCGCACAAAAAAAAACTTTGCCAAAGTTTGGAGAATTTTTCTTTAAAAAAGAGATTTGTAAGTGGCATAAAATTCCTTCAACAGAGGGATCATAAGGACAGGCAATCTCAACTAGACTAAGGATTTTTCATTGATCAAGAAAATCAGTAATCCTATGTCTATCAAACTCATCCTTGGAAATTTTCTTTTCCTCAATGAATTGGCAATTCATGATTTGAGAACTCAAATTTGAATCAGATTCAAAATAAAAAGTTGTACTGAAAGCATTGTTTACCTCAAAAAGGAGTTGACAGATTCTTCCCATCCAAGTTCAGCTCATCTTCCTCAGAAGATTCCTCTTCTTCTGAGTCTTCAAGTTCATCTGGGATGCATGCTGGCTCAGGTGATGCAACACGTGGGGCAACATCTTCCTGCATCTGAGAGAATTCCTCAGACGAGTCACTGTCTGACTCTGAAGGTGGCAATTTTTTGCGAAATGAGGCAAGGAGAACTTCCCAGCTATCATCACTTTTCTCTTTTTCTTCAGCCTGGGAAGGTGGTGCATCCACTTGAACAGCTGCCTCTGCCAGAGTTTCCAGAGGATCTTCATTTGGAGTTGAGGGTGTAGGAAGTGAGGATTCTTCTGTGGTGGCAAAGTCCTCGGCATCAGCAGTGGTGATATCTACATGCTCAGCAAAGGACATCCCAGAAAAGTCTGGCATTTCCTCATCTTGATAAGGAGCAGCATCCTCAGCAACATTTTGAGAAGCATTGTCTGAGACAGTAGGTGCATCAGCATTTTCAGGAACATGTGCAGCAACATCTTCGGAAACAGGATGTTGAGAGGGAGTTGCTGCCATGTTGGACTGAAATGTCTCCCCCTGAGTTGATGCTAGTGGAGGTGAGTCTTTGGAAGATGACTCAGTGGAGCTTGAGGAGAAAGCTTGGGCTTGGTTCTGCAAAAGTAGGATCTCCTTCTTCATCATCAGTTTCTTCATCAACCAAATGAAGGCCTCTTGGTGGGTTTGGCCTAACTGGAGTGCGACCGACTCTGCTGCCTCTTCTTCTACCTCTGCCGCCTCTGCTGGGAGAATGTCTTCCCCTTCGGCGTTGTGATCCAGTAGCATTCAGATTTGGGAAGGGATTCATGCGATTGAACAGGCGAGTTGGAATCCTTCCTGCACTGGAAGAGGGACCCACGTTCTGGAAGTTGACTGGGTCAATCGGATTCATCTCGTCTCCGGGCTCAATAAAGCTGATCGGCATAGCTTCAAGGTTGACAGAATGAACGATGATGGCTAGATTCTGGTCTGCTGGTTCAGGTGCTGCAGCATCGTTGTGGACATCACCAACGGCTGGAAGAGGATTTCTAGGAGGAGATGCCATGATACAGTAGATAAAAAATTGCTTCTTGTGCTTTTGATTTTTGAGTGTGAATTTTCGAAAAAGAAGCACGAAATTTATAAGCCCTAATTTTTGCAGAAAAAAATTGAAGTGGAGAAGGTGAAGAAGTGGTGTGCGTTTTTCTTGGAGAAGGTGTGATTAAGGAGAATAAAAGTTTATTTGGCAGTTTAAAACAAAACGCGACACATGGCATAATAAGGAGTGAACTTAGTGGAAAATAAAAGACTAACCCATGTACCCCATGACCCATATAAATAGTGATAATTCAAAAATAAATAAAATAAAATTAGTTACACTCACGAAATTTTCACAAAATTAAGAAACACATTTATTAATGATTAATAGTGTGAGAAAAATAAATTGGCTAACAGGCATAGATTTTATTGTATATATATAATGATAATTTTTTTTTTTTTTTTTTTTTTTTTTTAACTCTTATTTTCAAGTCAAACAATTCACATGGAACATGATCAAGTGTTCAGTTTGAAGGTTCCTCAGTTACTAAGATATGACTATCAAAATAGAGGAGTTTGACTTATGTGAGTGTAATTATTCCCTAAATGTTTACATGAAGCATGATCACGTTTCAAGGTGAAAGACTTCCAGTTACTTATTTATAAAAATAATTCATCACAGTGAAGTCATTATTTAAAGAAGCTAAGCTTCAATAAATTATGTTGCAGCTTAAGATATTTGATGAGGTGCTGCAACATTTTTCAGGACATGTTTATTGAGTACACATCCCGAGAGATTTTCTGAGTTTAGAAAACCTCTCATAATCTAATGCCTTTGTAAAGATGTCAGCCAGCTGATCTTCTGTAGGAATGTACTTTAAGCACACTATATTTTTCTCAACTATATCACGAATAAAATGATGTTTAATATCTATGTGTTTAGTTCGTGAGTGTTGAA